ATTGATGACAGTGTAAGGACCTATTTAGAAACTATCCCTGCTCCCCTTCCCCCAGGGGATTTACTTGGAGACAAGTCCTGGAAACCAGCTTCAGGTTACAAAGCCCAGATACAAGGGTGGGTCAGGCCAGGTGTAGGCATCCGATCAGTGGGGGGACGCATACTGTCTCCCTGGTTACCAAGGAGTATGGGCCCCGCCCTTTGGGCGCCAATCCCAATCAAGGTGTAACAGGCTGGTTCAAATGTCTATTAGGATAAACTGTAACTCAACTGGTCACCTAGCATCACTGTGGAGTTTCCTGTGTGTGTTACAATCTCATTGGCCACCTGTGCGGGGCCAGGCCTGACCGCATGGCCTTGGCCCTTAAAAGCTAGTCTGTGGACCAGAGAAGGGTCGCCCTCTCCTGTAAGAGGTACGGCCCCGAGTGTTCGGTTAGATTCTCGATGCTGGGCACGAAATAAAGCTTTGCTTGACCTTCGCTTTGTATCAGTCTCGCTCCTTTAATCACGGACCCAGTATTGGGGCATAACAGACAGATGTTTAACAAACTGAATGTCCCATTTCCCATGGAAACCTATCTAAAGCTCTTAAAGGAAGAGTCTGTAACTAAGTTAATTTGTACCACCTAGCAAGGCACCACAACACAGGTTTTGCAGGTTAACAAAAAGGAACCCGTCTCGTCCAGCTCTGCTTCTCACTTTCTCCACCTGGAATGCCTTTCCCCAACTATCGCAAATCACGCTCACCCTTCCCAGACCAGCTCCCTCAGGAGGACGCTGTCCCCCTCCCTCTGAGCCTCCCGTCACTGTCTTCCCCATCAGCATTCTGTTCCAGCAGGATCTGCCCTGCACAGCTCAACCCTGGTACCATCTCTAGCAGGCCAGCAGAGCAACCTGTCCAGCAAGCAAGAAAACAGATGTCCCTGGGGGTGAAGACAGAAGTAATAAGCCTGAGCACACAGAAAATTTTATTAAGAGGCCTAACTTATGAGCTGTCAGAGAGAGTGAGAACTCTTAAGAATATCAAGCAAACAGGGGCGCCTGGGTGGCTCAGTGAGTTAAGCCTCTGCCTTTGGCTCTGGTCATGATCTCAGGGTTCTGGGATGGAGTCCCGCATTGGGCTCCCTGCTCAGCAGGGAGCCTGCTTCCTCCTCTCTCTCTGCCGGCCTCTCTGCCTACTTGTGATCTCTGTCAAATAAATAAATAAAATCTAAAAAAATTAAAATTAAAAAAACAATATCAAGCAAACAGGAAAAAAGACCAGTGGTAATTGTTAAGTTCAAGAAAATAGGAAAACAAACAGTTGAACAAAAAGGAAATATATCACGCTACACTAACCGGCTCAATAGTGAGCAACATTCACAAAGTCAGAACAATTAGCCAAATTATGGATCTAAGCAAAAACTGTGACCCAACCACGTGGGGAAGACGGGAGTTCAAAATGCGACTTTTTCTCAAAGTGACATATCAAAGACCCCGCCCCTACACAGCTACTGCTGGGGACCACGGACATGTGCTGCAAGGAGCCACTCACCGACCTTTCAGGGCTCTCTGACTTCTGAGCACGTGCGCATACCACCCTCTGACAGAAAGAAATTTCTAAGAAAGAAGAAGAAAGAGAATCTCTAACAGAAGCATTTCAAGCAGGACATAAGTGTTTTCCTGCAACTTCCAACCTCGCTCGCTGCCCCCTTTCCCCCTTCAACAGTCTCTCTCCGAACCTCAGGAGGCGGGCAGCGGACAACAGCGTGCGCGCCTGGGACCTGGCGCCACGGCCCGCCGGCTCCGCACTCTCGAGAAAGCTCTGGTGAGCTCTGACCCTGCGCCTTTGCCAGCTGCAACATGGAAACACCACCACGGACCTCAGGGGCCCGAGAGGGCTGGGCTGCTCAGCACCCAGACACCGAGTACACCCTGGACCTAAGTCACTGGAACCCTCTCTCCGGCTTCGACCGCCGTCCAGGTGGGCCTTCCCTCTGACCAGGCCCCCACAGCGCTGCAGCACTGCCACAGCGCCATCCACGTCACCGAACTCGAAGGCAAACCTCAGTGACCTTTCCTGACACATCAGAGAGTGGACACATCCTCCTCCTGGGACTCTCTTCCCTTCTTCCCAGGGTCTTCCTCACACCGGCTCGGTGCCAGCCACTGCTCACGTCTGTCCAGGAGCACTGGCCTGGGCTTGCTTGTCTTCTCTGCGCTCCCTCCCTCAGTGAGCACAGCATCACCCATCTTCATTGCCACTTCCAGCCCTGACCCCCTCCCAAGCTCCGGATGCCCACTTACAACTGCCCCCATGACAGCTCTGCTGGGGTCCCTAACAGAATCGCGAACAATGCCTACAAGTGAGCTCCCCAGCTGTCCCTCAAAACCAAATTCCACCCACAGCCTCCCTCCCCTTCTAGTTGCCCAGGCCAAGAGCCTTCTAGTCAACTCAACTCCTGTGTCCTCACACCCTTTATGCACTCTGTTAGCAAATCCTGCCGCTTCTACCTTTGAAATACATCCAGGGCCCCACTGCTTCTCACCACCGCCAGCTTTCCTGCTCCAATCCAAGCCTCCACTGCGGCTCACCTGCTTTCCCAAATGGCCTGCTGACACGTCTCCTGGTTGTCCCCTACTCTCCCCCACTCCCCACCCCTGGTGTCTGTTCCCAACACACCAGCTTTTCAAACCTCAGGTCTGAACGCTGAGGGACAGCTGCCCTCTGCAGCCGAGAGCCGGCACTGCCTGACCCTCGTGACTTTGTTTGGATAAACAGCCCCGGAACCTCAGAGTTCAATCTATGTCAATTGTTCTCAGCGGTCCTGATGCCAGAGCAGCTCTTTTTTCACAAAACGGGGGTTTTCAGACGGGTCTCTGAGCAACCTTCCTTTCTGTCTCCTGCCTCCCCACACATCATTAACCCTGAAAACAACCCCCATACATACTCCAGCAACTCAACTCCTCCGAAACTTTCCTTCCCTTTCCTAGAATTCTGGCTGTAAAACACCTCTATCTCAAGCTTCTGCCTTATAATGCAACGCCCCAAAACAAATCAAGAACCAAGAACCTGATCCATCCCACAGGAGCTCGAGTGGACCGGGGCACTCAGGTCCATCGGGGGACGCGGATCTCAGCAGAACATCGTCAAGCTGGTGCTGTACGAAGCCAGACTGCCCCATGTGCCTCACCACGTGTCCAGAATTGGGGGAAACAATGATAGAAACCGTGGTTATAAGGTTATATTCCCGGATTTACATCTTTCAAACAGGAGTGGAGGGGAGGAGAGTGCTGAAGTAGAAGCAGATTATATCACGGTGCTCAAAGCTCTCTGGAGCCACCGACAGGCCTGCAAGTTCCCCATCGGGCCTTTGTTCCAGTGCACATCACATCAAGAAGAGAAGTTTTTGTGTAATTTCTGTTAAACTTGAAACTGTCTCGTACTCCACCACACGAACTATTTTAATAGCTAATACTGCTGGAAAGTTATACTTGATATTCTCCCTCTTTTTTGGATCCACTAAGAAAAGATAACTTACTTTGTGGCAAACATTAAATACTCCTTCCTCCAGCATTTAGTCAAAACCACCTATGGGCCAAGCAGAAAACATGCAGAGATCAAATAACAGAATCTTTGCTCCTAAAGATGCAGAAGCAGACTTATACCCAGTAAACACAGTGCACTTTTACAGGAAGAAACACGTGCAGGGAGCATGGGGAGGAGACAAGGGGTGTGAGCAGCGGGGCATGGCCTTCTCCAAAGACAGCATAGTCACGCCCCACACCGCACTGAGCAGGTGCCTCTCGCAGCCAAGAAAGGGCAGAAGGAATTAGAGAAAAGGAGCAAGACTTCCAGGACTTACTTAGAAATTGAAACTGCAAGACATAATTTCCCTTCCCTAATACCTAATCATGGCAGAAACGAAAGTAGGCTTGGGGGAGAAAGGGAGAAAGTGAACTCACCCCCAGAAGGAAATGGAAAAACCGTCCAGGGCCCAGCCCCTTGGATATTTAAGACAAAGACACTTGCCAAAGTCAAACTCAACATAATTATAAATGATCCTGAATTCTGAGTCCACGAAGTCTAAACTCATGGCGCCTTAATCAAAGCATCGTACCAGTAAAATAAAACGTTTACCAATGCTAAGACCCCAAAAGAGGTTTAGGAACCTTCCATCAGCTATCCATCCTTGATTTGCCATTAGGCCTACCACAAAGAGCAGCCTTTGGAAATAAGACTAACTGGGACAGAATCTCAACTCTACAACCTCTCAACTATGGAGTGCAGCACAAGTGCCAAGGTCTTAACAAAATTCGAAATTTAACAAAATACAAAAACCCAACCTCGGGGGCTCAGTTTTCCTCTCATTAAAGTGGGGGAAATGCCACCAAATATTCACCACTACCATCTGAAAACGCTGACCACATTTCACATTTCTTATGGCGTCTTCAGCACAACCCTGGGAGAGCGGTCCTGTCGACAGCACCCGTTGTCAGAGGAGAGAGCTAGGTTTAAGCAGTCAGCAGTGGGCACGGACGGAAGCTAGGTTTCAGCAGTTAGTGAAGAGCTACTAAGCAAGCAGCCAAGCCAACATGTGAATCCAGAGCCCGTAAGAAGACGCGAGTAAAAAGCACACACTCCAAAGCCAGACGAAGTCTGAATCCCAGCTCTGCCGTTTGCAGAGTATCCTTTAACCTCTGTTTCAGTTATGCAAGTGTGAGACACGGCAAAGGCAGCCCGGTCCTGGGGTTGCTGGGGTCCACAGTGTTCCGGAGCATGTGCTCCTCCCCGCACCTGCTTCCAATGCTACCGTCCCGGACACTACTGCTATCCTGCCCACCTCTGTCCACACATAAAAGCCACTAAACAACTAATATTTCTTCCCTCACCTACTCTGCAAGACCAACTGGTTTCCATCTGTTTTTAATATATGTCAAAGAAACCCTACAACAGATGAGAGAAAAGTCAAAACAAAATGAAAAACCAGGACGCAAATGTAGCAAGAGAATTATACTCACAGATCCGAAGGCCACGGTAACTCTGTGAAGAAATCAAACGTCGGTTTAAAGGAAATGCTCCTAGTTCCTCTTTCCTCATTCCATAGTCCACAGGGAACCTGACAAGGAGAGAGAACACGCGCGTATAAAACCACCGTCCTCTCGCCTTTTTGAAGCTCTGCGGCACTCACCACCTCAGCCTGTCACCTCCCGGGCACGCCTACTGCGCGGCTCCGGGGGTGAGGGGTAAAAACAGGGCACCGCGTCCCTGTCTTCAAACCTACTGTCTATGTAAGAAATACATGGGAAGGGGGTGCTTGGGTGGCTCAGTGGGTTAAAGCCTCTGCCTTCAGCTCAGGTCATGACCCCAGGGTCCTGGGATCGAGCCCTGCATCAGGCTCCCTGCTCAGTGGGGAGCCTGCTTCTCCCTCTCCCTCTGCTACTCCCCGTTTGTGCTCTCCGCTCTCTCTCGTGTACCCACACACACTTTCTCTCAAACAAACAAATAAAATCTTTTTTAAAAGTGTTTGAAACAGGGGCGCCTGGGTGGCTCAGGGGTTAAAGCCTCTCCCTTCAGCTCAGGTCACGATCGGATCGAGCCCCGCATCAGGCTCTCTGCTCAGCAGGGAGCCTGCTTTCCCCGCTCTCTCTGCCTGCCTCTCTACCTCTCTGTGATCTCTGTCTGTCAAATAAATAATCTTAAAAAAAAAAAAAAGTGTCTGAAACAGCACAGGGAGAACTGAAAGGAGAAAAGGCCAAGATTTTGGAAGCTCTGAGAAAATCTAACATGGAAGATCAAGACCCAAACAGTAAAAAGAAGAAACCCGGAAGAAACAGAAACTAAAAAGACTGAAGTACAGTAAATGAGTCAGCAGGCCCAAGAGAGCCAGATTCTAACTCAGCAGCAGAACACGCCGAGAGCCAGCTCCACTTGCACAGCAGTCCTAGAAGACAAGAACTGGCAACACCAGCACACAGGGAACGAGGTAAAGAAGGCACAGCTTCCCACAGTAGCTGGGGAAGGCCATGGCAACAGGAACTAGAACCTCAATGCCAGGTGCAATGTGACTCCCCCTCACTCTGACAGAAGATGGGGGAGTGGGGGAGGACTCTCACCCCCTGGAAAAAGCAGAGGCATCCACAGACTGACGTTGCCCTGCCCAGCGGCGCTGAACAGAGCTGGATTTAATGACTGCATACACAGGGAACGGTGACTTCTCCAGCTCCCCTACAACAGACCACACAGGCACACCATTAACTCCCAGATTCTGAAGTGAGAATTCTGCAGGAAGATACTGGAAAATATTTCTGGGGAACCTGATCAGCCCCAAAAGACAGACCTAAAGATCCTAACACTGGAGACCCCCAACACAGGGCCCACCAAGAACACCCTGATGTAAAAGTCAAGGGGGCCTGCCCCTCAGACAGGAGAAAGAAGGAAAGAACCTGAAAGAAACTGAGACCATACAAAGTACCAAGAATGCAGAGATAAGATGCTGCGATCAATCCAGAAAAGGAGGATGCTCTTCTAGAAGAACAGGAAGAGAACTCTTAGAAATCTCAAGAACCTTTCTGCAATCAGAAAGAATAAACTAAAGAAGAAGGTTAAGTCAAACTGAAGTCATGTCTCCCTGAACGGAGAATAAAAAGACAAAAAAAAAAAAAAAAAAAAAAAAAGACAGAGGAGGAAGAGCAAAGGCAGAAGAAAAAAGCATTACGATAATTACAACCTCTGCCCAGGACAGCCAAGTGCTGGATAATATGACTTCCAGAAAAACAAAATAAGGAGACGAAAGGGAGAAATCCTCAGCACAATAATGCCAAAAAAGTATTCCCAGAACTGAAAGATACCAGTTGCCAGAATGAAGGGACCCACTGAATGCACAGCACTGCAGATGAAAGCCGACCCACACGGACTATGCTGTCGTGCCACTTCAAGACACTTGTACGAATTTTAAGACTCCTACAAGCTTCTAAAGATGGCAGGGAAAAGTTACATACAAAGGATACGTAAGAATAGCTTCTGAATGTGAAAACAGTGACATGCAAACAAGACGGCAATGGAGCGATCTCTGAGTTTATGAACAAACATGAAAGCCAACACAGAACTCTATACCCAGCCAGACTGTCCATCAAGTTTCATTCCTACATGGTTCCAAAGGTTTCCCCCCTAAGCATCCTGTGTCAGAAAGCCAGTGGAGAAAGTCCTCCACCAAAACAGAAGCATCAACAAAAAATGAGCAACACGTGACCTTCCATGAAGAAGGGGTAAGGGCCTCCCCGGGACGACGATCAGGGAGAGCTCAGGACGGTGGCGGGCACCAGGAGAGAGGGAGACAAGTCCAAGTTGGAGGAGCACCGCGCAAGAGGAGGGGACGCTGACAGCGGTCTTCGCCTTGTCCAAAGACACTGCACCATCTTTCTAAAGTGATTAACTCCACGAAGATGAGGAAGTCACTGAAGAAAGACAAAGACAAGAGTTGCCACAAACTTAGAATCCAACTCTGGACAGAAGCCAAGGATGAGAACAGAGGAATGTCCTGGAACAACACAGTAAAAGGCCTCAGGAGCAAGCAGCTCGGAAAAGAGAACAGAGATCTCCAGGGAATTGTCTGCCAGCAATAGAATGTGAAGAGGAGTTGAGTCTAGATGACGAACCATGCAGAAAAACTACTAAGGGGCTCCTGGAAGGTATGGGGAAAATGAAGAACAGGTATAAGGAAGGTGAAGAATGTGGGGGCTGATGAAAGAGAAATGCCCGCGCTCCTGCCCTGTGCACATCTTTACACAGGACTGACCACTGTGCCACCCTCGCTGGCAGACTCTCCTTCTCCCTCGCTCGGCTGGGAAGACCTCTTGGAGAGGATTTCTCATCCAGCTGTCGCCTTCTAGAATGCAATACAATCCCTGTTACAGGAATACAGGCAAGAGCAGTCTGGGGTCTTTTTACGTTTATTCAGGTACTGAGCATCTACTGTACACACCTGCTATCCTTCCAGAGAACTAGAATTCAAAGACACACCAACCTTGCTCGCCTTTAAAGAGTTTCAACTTTTTTTTCACGCCTGAGAAAACAAATATTTATCCTACATCCTCTTCTCCCCAAAGACGAGCAGTTCACCAGGGGTTTAAATAACTTCAATAGAGCAGCTGTCACTAATGGCTACAAAACCCCAGACCTGGAGATACTTTCTTGACCTCAGACGCGCTGTGCAAGATGAGAAGAGCGCCGGCGTGGGTATCAGGACACCTGGTTTCTCGCGCTTTAGAATTACGACTTTTGAAGAACAGAAAATCCCACCTCCTTGATCTGACCAGCCGGGCCCTGAATGTCTCTCACGCTATCTCCCATGCAGCCCACACAGCAGCACCGTTAAGCCGTTTCTGGCTTACAGAACCACCTCCTCCTCACACCTCCTCCCTGAGCTAAGCTGGGTGTGCAGCTGGGAGCCGAGCCCATGTCCCTGAGGAGGCACCTCTCTCCTGTACCCTCTCAGAGCTCCTTCACGTGACACGGGTATCTGTGGAGGGAGTGACAAATGCCACGCACTGCGCCGGGCCCTGGGACACACGGCAGTGCAGTGGAGACACAGCTCGGTCCTGAGGGCTCCCGCGGTGTACCTTCCTGTTCCACGAACTAGAGTGCTTGTTAAATCTGGGCTGTCAGTGTCCTCCCCCACCTGAACGGCAAGATTCTGGGGACAACGACAGCCCCTTCGAGCGCAGCAGCCTCAGCACCGCCATCCCAGACGAGTAATGAAAGCCGACGAAGCAACACCAGAGTGAAGGACGAAAGCGCCAGAGGCTGTGGCCGGTGAGCAAAATTTGCTCTTGAGAAGCCCTCTTTGTCACTGTTGCCCTTTATTTATCGCCTCTTTTCTTCAGGAATAGAAACCGTTCAGGAAAGTCTTGCAAGTCAGCTGCAACCAGCTTTCCTCTCCTTGCTAAGTGCAAAGGCAAGACGGCCCGGCTGCTCCCCGTCTGGCTTCCGCTCACCACCCTACGACCAACAGTGTGCACCGAGCCCCGCACCTAAAACACGCTCAGAACACATGCACGTGACGCGTGAATGACCTAGTGATGAATCGATGATCGTACACACTGGCTTTGGGGGCCTTATAATTGCTTCTCACTTGATTTTGTATTTTAGGGAGGATTCAAGCAAACACTAACACCGCATTCTATCGACCTGGCCCTACAGCGTGCCCGCCCTCTGAACAGCAGGCGGCCCAGGGCATGCGGCATCCAGCACGGAACTGACGTACATATAAGCACAAAAATCTGAATGAACGTCGTTCAAATAGGGCAGAAAACGAGAGTATTTCCCAAACCCTATAATTAAAATGCTTAAATTCTTTTGCTCCAGACAAAGAAAAATTACACTTGGCTCATTATTCAGTGAAATACACCGTCAGCTCCTTGAAGTTATTTGTACGACGGACACTCTCTGCCTTCCTGGCATGAGCGGGTGTGTGTTAAGACACATCAGAGATGCTCGGGCCGCTCTGACCCGTCTCCGAGACCCTCTGATGTGCAAACGAGGACTTCCCAGCAGTCACAGCACACCCCCGCTCTGTGCTTCCGGAACACGTAACATATTCCGCACCACCGCTCTGCTCAGAATGTTCTCGTTTCGGTGTGCGGTCCCAGCTGGACAGGCCCTGACCCCCGCCCCCCGCCGCCCCAACCGCAGCGACAGCCTGCCGCCGGCGGAGGGTGTGCGGGGCGGCGTTGTCTCCCGAGGGCTGAACAGGCACCCGCTCCCGCGTCCTCGCAGCCCCGATGACTGCTCTCTTGCCCTTTTACATACAAGAAAACAAAGTCCAGAAACATTAAGAAATTTTCCAAGGTCGCACAGCAAACAAGGAGAGCGAGCTCAGGCAAACAGCAGTTTCTCTCGGCATCGAAAGCTGTGCTGCTTCCCAAGTTGCCCAGATCCCCGCGTTAAAACAAAGCACGACTTGGGCTTTCCGAGGCACACATGGCAGAACGACTCTTTCTAAAGTTGAGAACATTCGGCGCGACGTGTTCACAAACTGGAAGGGGTCTGGCTTGGACCGACCAGGCAGGCTCCGCCCCTGGCGAAGAGGTCTGCTCGATGCTAACTGCCAAGGAAAGC